CCTGGACTTGGTCCTTCCTCAGCCTGCAACTCCCTGTGTGGTCTTGGGACCTGGTCGCAGGAACCGCTACTGAGTGTGCACCAAATGTGTGCAGAGAGACCTGGCTAACAGCTTTCCATGCCTTAGCTCCTTTAATCATGCCCATGTTTCTCTGAGCTATCTACCTTTTTAAAAATTCCTATTCTACTCTTGGGTATCTATGCAGAGAAACCCAAGATGCTAATTTGAAAAAATATATGCATCCCTATGTTTATTGCAGTACTGTTTACAATAGCCAAGACTTGGAAACAACCGAAATGCCCATCAGTAGACAACTGGATTAAGATACTGTGGTATATTTATACAATGGAGCATTACTCCGCTATAAAGAAGATTGAAATTGTACCATTTGCAACGATATGGATGGACCTAGAGACTATTATGTTAAGTGAAATAAGTCAGAGAAAGACAAATACCATATGATCTCACTTATATGTGGAATCTAAAAAACTGAATGAACGAGCAAAGTAAACAAATAGTCTCAGAGATATAGAGGAAAAACTGATGGTTGCGAGTTGGGAGGAGGGTGGGGATGAGGGAGAAGGGGAAGGGTTTAGAAAGCATAAATAGATAACTACAATATTGCCACAGGGATATGAAAGACAGTTCAGGGAATATAATTAATAATGTTGTAAATATTTTGTAGGGTGTCAGATGGTCACATGTCTTGTTAGGGAGACCATGGATGGGGTAGAGGCTTGATTACTGCACGGTACACCTGAAGCTGATGTTGTATAATATTGTATGTCAACTATAATTGAATATATATATATATAGTCACGGGATGTGGAGTATAGTGTGGGAGTGGAGTCAATGGAATTATAATAGATATATATGATATGCATGGGGGAGTGGGGCGGCAGATTGGGGGAGGGGGGTTGTCACTCTGAGGGGTAAAAAGTATAACTATTACACTGTGTAGTACACCTGAAACTAATTTAAAAATGTTTATTTCACAATAAAAAAATGCTGGTGGAGACCCACTAAATTAATTTATCACTTATTAATTGAGGAAAAATACAAGTGACCTCTGTCTAGATTATTTTTTACTTTTTTGAGCTATAATATACATCCAATAACATGGAAAAAATTTGAAAAAAAAATCCCTATTCTGTAGCTGAGCACAGCTGAAGCTTAGAGCAATTAAATAACTTGCTCTAAGTCACAGAGCTAATAGCCAGAAAAGCTAGTGTTTAACCCCAAGGCTGTCCAACTAGAAGGACCAAGTTCTTCACCACTGTATTCTCTTGTCTCTGTAAATCACTGCATTGCTCAGAGCCTGATTGTCTTCATCTGCAAAGTGAAGAGATTGGACTAGATTAGAGGATTTCAAAAAATAGGTTAGACTTCCTTTGTGTTCTAAAACGCTCTCTCTCAAGTTTATGGCTCACTATATATAACCTATGGTGCTCTCCCCAGAGCCTCTCCATGTTAGTAATTTCATCAAAGGATAAAAAAAGACAAATCATTTAAAAAATCACTCAGAATGAATTGTATTTATCAGTTCGGAAGTTAACAGCAGCTACCTCTATCACTGTTTTTGTCATATCACTTGTGATTTCTGTAGCAGCCAGGAGAGGGCGCTATTGTTATTCCCACTGTACCGATGCAGGCGCTGAAGTTCAGAGGTGAAGTGACATACTCAAGTGTGCATGGCTATCAAGTTACGGACTGCAGGCCTGAAGCCAGCTACGTGGTCAGACTTCAAGTCTAATGTTTCTTCCAATACCCAGCCTCTTTCTAGATTTAAAATTTTCTCCTTCATCCATGTAACACATGTATCCTGCCTTGAGTGCCTCCTCAGCATACGAACTTGAACAGATCGTATCCTTATGTGTACACATCAAAAGAGCCAGTCTTTGCCTTCAGAGAGCTCTCAGTCTAGTTGAGGAAAGATTTATTCATGACATCACATTGTCATAAACAGGCTTCAGGAGAAAAAGGAGAGTGCTGTAGAAACACACAAGAGGTACTGTGATCAGCTGGCCAGGAGTGAGGGACGGCGTCCAGGTCAAGATGACATGGCAGCTGTTCCTGAAAGGCAGATTAGGAGCAAAGTGAGAAGGAAAGAGGAGAAGGGCCTTTAGGCAGCGGTTACAGTAACTACAAAGACAAAACTGCTAAGGGCATGGTGTGATCTGGGAATGGAGAGAAGCACCTGTGGGTGGAACACAGGGCAGGACAGCGTACAGGGCAGGAGCGGCAGGAGATGGGGCTGGCGATGAAGGAGGGAGCCTGTGATGTCGGCTATCTTCTACCACAGTGAGGACTTCAGACCTATTGTGGGAAACCATGGGAAGCCTTTCATCAGAAGGCGATGAGATCACATCAGTATCACAAAGATCAGTGAGGGATGGTATGGAGAGTGGACCAGACCTAGAAACAGTCTAGAACAGAGGCCATGTATTCAGATGCCTGACTGGGCCCCAAAAGATAATATAAGTGCGAGCCTCAGGATGAGTGGGACTGTGGCAGAGCGAACCCCACACCTCTAGAGGGAGCAGCCACCACTTGGCACCAGCAGGTGGAGCTCAGTCCTTCCAGATTCCTTGCTTTTACTGGGAGGAGGCAGAAATAAACCCAGCTGCTTCTTGTGAAATGTCCTAATTTTTAAATGTTGAAACTAATTCAACAGCTTTAAAATACTGCGCACACCAATCAGAATAAATCTGTGCACTGGTTCCTACACCTGGTTGCCATTTGCAACCTCCAGACCTGTTTACAGAGCACTTCTAGGGCCGAGGCCGAGGTGATGAGAGCCTGGACTCTGGCCAGGGGATGGAGAGAGGAGCACAGGGGCTATGAAAGGACTTTAAAGGTAGAGCTGACTGGAATCGGGAACTGATGGCTTCAGTAGGAGGCCGAAGGGAGGAAGAGTAGATGGATGTCTATCGGCACATCCCCACACTTAAGACGGTTCTCATTCTTGGCAAACGCTTTCTTCCTAGAGAGTGAAATAGGGTTGAGGTAGCTCAAGATGCTAAATGAATGGATAATGTTACACCCAGGGTTATACATCTGAGTGGAGTTATACGTTTGCCTACATGAGCAAAGGTAGTTGCGGCAAGAACACATTGCATGAAGCAGTTGTCTCGATTTGCTTGACAAATAAGGGCATGGAGAAGGTTTGGGGAAGTACGCATTTCAGTCAAGTGTTGACATAATGATCAATGAGACCTTTCATGTCAGAAGATCCAAGCTCTGAATCAGAGACCTGGAGGGCAAACACACCTGCTTGGCACGTAGTCCTGACTGGTTTTACAGTCACCTTTTCAGACAGAGCCATGCCAGGAGGACTGGGGGGGCCGGAGCGGGGGCTGTCAATGGAGTCATCTCTAGGCTTGACTTGCTGGTGTTGCTTCTTTCTTAGGAGTTGCTCTTTGGTATAAGTTAAATGATCCAAACCACCCAGTACTCTACAGCATTTTTCTGGCCAGACTTCGTGCTCTGATGGGGATCCAGTAAGACCCTCCGTTTGGGCGATGACTATTTCATCTTTCACAGTTCGGTGGCGCTCTCTGACATTGCTCCATACGCATTAATGAATTATTTAGCATCAGTCTGCTGGTCTGCTCTGTTCCACAGCTTCTTGCTGAAGGAGGTATTGGGGGGTGCTGTGGTCAGACCACAGTAGTCCAGATGTGGGAGTTACTGCTTGTGACAAGTGTGTCTGCTTTGGTTTGTGTGTGAAGGTCCCAGACAGACACTGAAGGGAATGTTACTGCCGAGTCCAGCTCAGCGGGTGTGAGCGTGGAGCCCAGCCACTACTCCAAGAGTGCACAGCCTGCTCTGGAAGAACTCCCTGGTGAGTATGGAGCCCCAGAAATTCTGTTTCTACTGGTGACGCGGCCTCACGTGTAACCAACTGCTGGACGGGCATGAACCCAGCAGGTTTTAAAGTTGGTTTACTGTTGCATTGATCAATGAACTAAACAAACTTATTTTCTTTCTTACTATTTTTCTTCTCTTTCTTCCCTGTTTATTCTCTCTCTCTCTCTNAGAATGGAAGTCCCTTATGTCTCCAAGTGAAGCCCTGAGTCTTCTTGACGGCTCCCTGCTCTGCAGCACCAGCTGACATAAGTTGAGTGCTTGTGCTCTCTCTCTCTCTCTCTCTCTCTCTCTCTCTCTCTCTCAAACACACACACACACACACACACACACACACACAATCTACTTCCCTCTCTCAAGAATTGTAAATAAATCTCTTACCTGTTGGCAAATCCTATTTTAAGATAGGTTCCATTTCATTCATGTAGGAGCTCTGGGCTGCTGTGACACTTAACTTTCAATCACCTTGTTTACTCTTCAGATAAAGTCACTTCCCAAAAAGAGTTGGAACTTTAAAATATTGGCTTTTTTCTTTCCTGTATGGAACCACTGATGGGACATTGTTCTTAACACCCTCCATTAATTGGAAAGAAGATTACAGCATGCTGCTTTTACCAAAACCAAAAAAAATTTAAAATTTAAAATAAATAAAAAAATCTAAATTTTATTTAAGTATAACCTAGACAATGATGACTAAAGGGGCGTTATATAAAAATATAAAATCTGCAGTTGTCATATAGCTCATTCCACAAACACTATACTATTGCGTTCTTCATTTATAGGAGAAAAGTTAACACCTGAGTTTCCACCTTCTCTGTCTCTCTTCCTCATTCCCCCTGTGTCCCAGCAACTTCTAATCAAAGAAGCGAGTGGTAAACCACATATTTAGTAGTGGCTGTGTTATTCTCCTATCGTACCACTTCCAGAGTTGGGTTAGAAATTGAATTCATGTTTAAAATCTATTTATTAGACTAAATCCCATGACCACATCATTTTAACATTTTAATAGCCACATTATCACTCTGGAATTGGTCTGCAGCCCATGTGATCAAATCCTACCCATCTCACCATTAGCTCTGAGTATTAATTTCAGAGGATCTGAGAGACTTAACTATTTCCTTTTCGTTCTGCTGGCTGGGCTAGGTGATGGGGCAGAGACGTTTCAAGCCATTTGTAAGCCCCCACATTTGGGATTGATTTTGCTTCCTTCTCTCCACGGTTTGTAGCTCCCTTGCCTATGAGGACATGGCTAGCACAGGAAAAGAGCCAGGAGAAGGGTGTGGAGTTCGGACGACTGCGCAGGTCTCCACACACATTCCAGATCATGTTCTTATGTGCATACATCAAAAGAGAGAAGCCAGTACTTCAGAGCCCGGCATGTATCAGATGTGTGTCCCATGGAGTAGTGTGGATTCGTGTCAGGCATTGTGGCTCAGCAAAATTCACATTTGTAAAGCAAAAGCAGCAACCAGAGAACATTCTGTATAACACTTAAATTTCAGAGTGACAGACTGCAGCCTGTGATCTTTCACTCATTTTTCTTCCTTTCTCCATGTGTCCTCTGCATCAGGACTATAAAACCAAGTAAGAAAGCCTGAGATACTGTCTCCTGCTTTGGGGAACAGAGCTATGCAGCCAATCGTACCTAATCAAGCACTCTTTGGTGTTAAGTCGAATGGTGTTAGTTGCTAATGAAAATGTCTTAATCAGGGTGACTTGCCGTTACATTCAAACAGAACTCACATGTATGACTGTACAGTGAATTATTTTATGGAGACACTGCATAGTGGCATGAGGTTGAATTTAATTTATCCACAACTGACCCCTTGAAATGACAATGAATGGTGAGTGTATTTAGAAATAGACATTTACGAGGCTATTTAATCAATTGCTTAGTTCTTCCTCTTGCGTATGCAAATAGGTGGATTTTCCCACAGTGCTTTGTCATTTACATAGCATTACCATTAAGATTTGGATTGTGTAGTTAGAAGGAACCACACAATCCTGTTTGTTTATTATCCAGCTTATGAATTCTTTCTATCATTCACTAGTGAATCGTCTTTCAGTCTCTGCTTGAATATTTCTTGTGATGGGAAGGTTGAAGGTTATTCTTTCATAAGACAGCTCTTCCATATTTTGTTGGCTTTAATGGGTAATAGAGTTCTTTCCTCTTAACATTTCTAATCACTGGATATAATCAAGCACCCTGAAGCCCACAGACAATTTTCATTTTTTCCTTGTAGCAGCATGTCCCTTAAGCCACCCTCTTCCAAGTAAAAATCCACGTTCCTTCCATGTTCCTTTTGTAACACCCTGACATCCTCTAAACTCAACCCTATTGGGTTAGAATATGTGACAGCCTCTCCATCATGGCCAGTGGCTTAAGGGAGGACAGCATTTGGCAAACGCGAGAGCGCCACAGTGACCTGGAATCGCTTACTCAATTTTTAAGATCTCTGTATGAGTTAAAAGGATCCTGGCATTTCCACTAGAGCATGGTTGTATTTTTATTTGGTTCAGACTGAGAATTGGTGGGAAAATCTCAGTTCATCTTCCAAGGAGGCAAAATTGACAGTTCAGAACATGATCATCTAAGCAAGGCAGGTGGATTACTGGTTTTCATTTCTATGTCACTCTTGGGATCTGGTGTTGTGTAGGGCTCTGGGTGGAGCACGCATTTCCCAATGAGACCCCCAAGAATGAAACAGGACACTCAGATTCAACGAGCCCTCGTTTGGTGCCAGGCATATCTTATGTGTCATCTCATCTGATCCTCCTAACCCTTTGAGGGAAAGGCTTTATCCCCATTTCACAGATGTCATTCAGAGAAAATAAGCAACTTGTCCAAGGTCAAGTGGGTAATAAACAGCAGTGCCATGATTCAAGCTTTTATCTGTCAGAATGCCAAGTCCATGATTTTTTTTTCAACCCTTCACTGACCAAAGGTCTGTTGGACAATAAATATTTTTGGGGCATGTGGTGGGGGTTACCAGAAGTAAATGTGAGATGCCATCCCATCTCAAAGATCTCTGAATTTCTGAAGAATTAACACAGGCAAATATGTCATGAATAGAGATATGGATCAGTAAATATAATTATTATACTTCTTGTGTGTGATTAAGCTAATTAATGAAAGTAATTTAAAAACTGATGCCTAGACTTAGCTTCATAATAAATGTTCATTATAGGGCCTAGAGCTGTCCAAAGGATTAGTACCTTTTTTGGCAGCCTTACACAGATAAAATGCGGCGATCCTGGCAGTAAAAGATATTTAATTGATGGCCCAAGAGATAGATGCAATTACATTCCTCCAAAGCCATTAGGTGAAGGTAAAGTCAGCATTCATCACGGGTTTCATTTAAAAAACACATACCTACAAGTATGTATTTTAAAGAATTGGGTGGGAAATACAAGTTTGACCACTCTTCAGATAGGAGAAAAAGAAATGCCTTCCAAATTTCTCTTGGTTAAAAAGGGAGAAAATTGAAAACACTTGCATTTTCAAGGAGAGTTTGCTGTAGAAATTTCCTCCATAAAAATCACATACCGTGTTTCCCCGAAAATAAGACCTAACCAGAAAATAAGCCTTAGCATGATTTTTCAGGATGCCGGTAAATAAGCCCTACCCCAAACATAAGCTCCAGTTAAGATTGTCAGCCAGCATGACTGTTTGAGTAAATGTAGATTTTTGTACATGAGTAAATGAATAAATGTAGATTGTTGGAGCAAAACTTAATATAAGATCTAGTCTTAATTTCGGGGAAACACGGTAGCTATCATTTAATGCAGCCTCCAGGCACCACCATGCTGATAATAACCTAAGGAAGTTGTCATCTGTCTCAGAAGGAAGGTTAATTCTGTGACATTTCTTAGATGCCTGTTGCCCTGTCAATGATAGCTGCGGAAGTGCTACGTAGGGTCCGATGTAAATTTCACTGGCTGTTGTCCATGTGTACTGGGTTTTCTATGAAGATTTCTTTAAAATTGTTGCTCAGTGCTTAAAATAGTCGTAGGCTTTTAAAGACCCTTGATTGTGGTTCTTCAGGCTTCTCAGCCCTCCCTGGAATTACTCTGAGGGAAAGATGTTTGAGTTCTTTAATCACTATTGTCATTCCTCTTCCTCTGAGAAACCCAAACAACATACAATAGTCAGGGAACCTAAAGCAAGGCTACTCGGAGAGGGCATGTGGCTTCCTGGCTTGTGTGTAGCCTGTGTCTCCTGGGACATTTATGCCAAATTAAGCTCTGGGCCACATATTTTGTGGAAAATCTTTCCCAGAGAATGGAAGTCCCTTATGTCTCCAAGTGAAGCCCTGAGTCTTCTTGACGGCTCCCTGCTCTGCAGCACCAGCTGACATAAGTTGAGTGCTTGTGGTGGGCACTGTGCCCAGGGATCCCCAGCCTCTATGGCATTTAGTCCCCATTGCTGTCTTTCGAGGTCAGTACTGTCACTGCCCTCACTTTAGGATGGTGGAATATGAAAGGTGGAGAGGTCTGTTGCCACCTTTCCTATGATCCCACAGCCAGTGAGTAGCAAAGCCAGAATCTGAGATGACATCATAAATCAAAGAAAAAGGCAACTCTTGCTCTGTAGAAATACTTGTGATTAGCAAGTGCAGATCTTTCAGTCACTGCAAGTTTCGTTTGTAACATAGAACCGGTAACAGCAGCATGTGTCACCTATGCATGAAAAAACAAAATGCCTCACCCAGTTTTGCACGGGCAGAAAGTGATGCCTGGGAATCAGACCTGAAGTGTGCATGTCTTTATGGGAGACTGTGGAAATGTGTTTATATCTCAGACTAGGTACTTTGCTTCTCCTACAAGCTGGATTTCACCTATTTCAGGAGGGAGAAGAAAAGACTTCTCTTCTTGGACTTAACACCTTCCTTTGGGCATTCATTCATTCATTCATTCATTCACTCATTCATTCTCAAATCCTTCTTAAGCACCATTGGTGAGCCAGGCCTTGAGCTCACCGTGGAGCATGGTCATATCATGAATTCAGTTGCTGCTCCCATGAAGCTCACTGTCTCTCTGAGAATTAAAATAGTCTTAACACTCGTTTTTGCAGGAGAAGACCCTGAGGCTCGGCGACTGCGGACAGTGAAAAACATCGCTGACCTGCGGCAGAATTTGGAGGAGACCATGTCCAGTTTACGGGGAACTCAGGTTACACACAGGTATCTGAAACATGAATTACTCAACTGAACTAGCTAGTAACTTGATTTTCACATGGCTTCTTCTACGTTTGTTCATGCCACCAGCAAAGTGATTTGGTTAATAAGGAAACAAATCACCTTGACTCCCAAATGTGCTGGAATTGACAAAGAATGCCATATAATGTGCAGAAAAAAGGTGTATGTAGCGAGAATTAATACAGACCAATCTTCCCCGAAGCAGAAGGTTGCTACATCCATCCAACAGAGGATATTGTTGACCAGCTCCATTTAAATTTCACTATCCATGCATTTTCCAAAATTATATTGTACTGTTGAAATGAGCAGGTGAACTGTATTTGACCTGTGTGGCAAAGGGAATAACTTGAATTCCTACCCGATCTTCTGATATGCAATGCTCTATAATGTTGTTTGTCATGCACATGTATAAAATACGTAAGGAAATATTTATGAAAACTTATGATCGTGTTTAAACTGTGATTTAGTTGGAAAAAATCTAGGATTACACTGGGAACATTTATCAGGTTGTTTTCATTGCTGAGCAAGAATCTGAAGAGGATGCAACCCCGGGACACCCTTCGTGATTTTGGCAGAACCAAGTTTTACGGTCTGTGCTTGGCTTTGATAATCAAGGCCCAGTCCTGGGTACCCCCAGTGGTTCCCCAGACAGTCTCCTTTGCTTCTACAATTGCAGTCTTTTTGATAAATGAATATAGCAAGGAGACTGCAGGGCTTTTCTACTGCCAGCAGTTTTTTCAGATCAGGGTTAAGCACTGTGGGTTGGGTTCCATCTTAAATTAGACTGGGGCCCGAACCTTAGGGGTTCCCCATATGAGGAAAGTAAGGCCGCTTGCAAGATCGCAGGGAAACAAAAACAGCCGAGGCACCAGCTTGGTTCTTTCAGAGGAGCATGGACTTGGTAGCTGTTGTTTAAGTCCCCCTAAACCTTTGCTATATGCTGGCATAGGGACTCTGTGACTAGGTCTGAAGCATCCCTGTTTCCAGCATAATCACTGAAACTGACTTAATATGGGTTACAACAGTTGGGTGGATTTCTTGGCGTGGACGAGGATGGTAATGGTGACAGGAGGGACAGCTTCGATGGCCTCTCTGGCAGGAAAGACTCTGGCTGTCTCTGCTCAGTGAGAAACCCCAGTGCAGCTCTGAGAGATACACTGATTGTCCTGGCTCTGCCACAGCACCTGAAGGGCCAGAAAGACGGGGGACTGTAAAAAAGTCTGTCTGATGGCCAGGGACCAGCTCGGTCTCCTGGCAGATGCAGACTCACGTAATTTGATTTATTATCAGTGTAAATTGATCTCAAGCTCAGGCATTTACTTTTCTGGCCTTTTGCCCGCCCCAAAGTTCAGTTGTCATTTTGGACAAAATGTGGGAAAAGCCAAAGTGTGGGGTAAATGGAGCTCGGAGAGTCAGACAATCAAGGCCCTCCCCCTCTGGTCGGTGAGGAAGGAGCTGAGGAGGTGAAATACGGTGTTAGGCCCCCCAGAGTGATGGGGTTCTGCCTTTGGAAAAGGAGCTACGATGCAGCGCCCTAGAACAAATGGGCAGGTGGGTACCTTTATGCCCAACGTTATCAGTTCAGCATTTTCTATTTCCTTTCCCATGCTGAAGAGGAGATTTTAGTCGTTAAGGTCATGTAATTAAAGTAATTGGTAGTGGGTGTCTTGTACCATGTTTCAGGGGGGTAAAGCTTGTGCTGGGCTTTTCAGAATATTATGCAGATGTGCAGATTGGCCTTTTCATTTTTAGTAGAGGGAATACACTGGGTGGCACATTGGTGCCTAGTGTTTGTTCCTATTTTGTATATAAGAAATATTTCCTAATTTTTAAAAATTAAATTTATTGGGGTGACCATAGTTAGTAAAATATTTCATAATTTAAAAAAGAAAAATGAACGAACCTATGAACTGCAAAGGATCATGGGCACATTAGGGTCTAACCCAAGATGACTTTTATGTTTTTAGCACATTGGAAACCACATTTGACACCAATGTCACCACAGAGATCAGCGGACGCAGTATCCTCAGCTTGACGGGCAGGCCTACTCCTCTATCCTGGAGACTTGGCCAGTCCAGCCCTCGGCTCCAAGCAGGAGATGCCCCCTCTATGGGCAACGGGTACCCGCCTCGAGCCAACGCCAGCCGGTTCATCAACACTGAGTCGGGCCGCTATGTGTACTCTGCCCCTCTGAGGAGGCAGCTGGCCTCCAGGGGCAGCAGTGTCTGCCACGTGGATGTCTCAGACAAGGCGGGAGAGGAGATGGACTTGGAAGGCATCAGTATCGATGCTCCCGGCTACATGAGCGACGGGGACGTCCTGAGCAAGAACATCCGGACGGATGACATCACCAGCGGGTAAGGGCCTGGGGTGTCACCCTCTTCACAGAGCAGGGGAAGGCTTGGCACCTAAGTTTCTTTTTTTCAAGGCTTTATTTAAGTTCCCTGGAGGAGATCAAACGGCGTACTTTGCTTTCTGCTGTCCACGTTAAAGGCTGTGGGGTGTGGAGGGGACCTTCTCTGGATGGAGAGTCACAAGATCTAGGCCGCAGTCCAGATGACTCTAGCAAGGCTCGACTCGCAGCCAGAGTGACGCTTGACAACGAACCATACTGTGTCGATCCTTTAAACCAAACCTTGCACTCAGGCTGGAATCCAGACGCCTTAACATGGCCTACCTGGCCCTGTGGGACCTGGCCCTTCCCTGACCCTTAGATCTAATGGTTCCCCACCCACCCCCGTCGCGTCCCCTGCTGCAGCTCTTCCTTCTGTTCCTCAGTCTCATCAAGCTTGTCCCAGCCTCCTGGCCCTTGAACCGTCTGTTTCTCCGCCTGGATGCTATCCCCCACATCTTTTGCCTGCTGGACCCTTCTTACTGCTCAGCTGCCATCTCTCTAGAGGGGCCCTCCCTGACCGTTGAACTTGAAGTAGTTTCTGTGCCCTTGCCACATGCCCTCTCCTCTCTATTACTGTCATATGGATATCGCTAGGTGAAAGCATATCACTATTTGAAACTATCCTGACTGTGTGTTTGCATGTTAGGTCTCCCCGCGGCCTCCTGTTTGCACCAATCAGCACCATGAAGCAGGGACATTGTCTGGCTTGTTCGCCGAATCCCCAGGGCATTGTACATAGAGGAGCTTAGAGACACGGCTGAGTTAACGACCACATGGATTGCTCCAGGAAGGAGCAAACCCAACCTCCCTGTTTCTCTGTTTGTGAGGTTAAGGGGAGTGATAAGATGATGTCTAAGCTGTGCTGTGACAATGTATAACCCGAGGCGTGGCCGCTTGATTTTAGCTCTGCTTCCAAATCACTGTGTAAACTGAAGGTGCGTCGATTTATTCCACTTGCCAGAGACTGTATCTGTTAACCTGACTTGCACTGAAGTTTTCCAAGATCTTTCCCTCCTCTAACATTTTAGCCGTCAAAATTACAGATGATAAAAATCAGACATAATACTCATGCCACTCATTTCCATGAACAGTGATCGACACCCCACGGGTGAGTCAGTATTTTCATAATTTAATAATCGTTAATGCTCCCACTAAGCGCCAAGCCCTGTGTTAGGTGCTTTACACCTGTTACCTTGTTCTATCTTCACAGCAATGCTTTGAGGTAAGCGATAGCATCATCCCCATTTTATGGAGGAGTAAACTGAGGCTTAGGAATGTTAAATAACTTGTCCGGGGTCCTACAGTGGTCGAGAGGCAGAGCCCAGGGCTAGTGGCTCCAGGGCCTTGTTCCTTAATCACTGTGTCACACCGTCTTGCCCAGCATCGTATGGCTGCGTTGAAATAGCATAACTACTGGAGTTTATTTGAAAATTATTTCCTTTTGTTTAAAAGTTCTACCTGTCTGACTAGAAGGGTTCTTTGGTTTACTTAAAAGCGTAAACAAGAGATGCTTTGGCTTTCTGCCTATTACTTTTTGAGCCGTCCTGTCGTGAAATCTTGGAAGACAGAAGCCACCTTACCCTTGCAATATAACAAAGTTCTGCCCTCCAGAATGGCTGGGAAACTTAAGGGACTGACAAATGACCTGGTGAACTCACAGCATCATTTTGTATTTCTAGTTTTCCATGAACATGAAAATAACAACATACACCTATTACTAAAATAAAATTGCATGTAATTTCATCTTTGTATTATTTAGAAGACTTTTGGTATCTCTCATGACCTCAAGGTTATCATTATCAATTGCCATTGTAATATAATACCAAAATGTTTTAGGGTTATTTTGAGATTTCTCTATCCTGTGATAAGACTTTATTCTATTGTCGGATCTGTCTTTGAATCCTCACTGTATGAAGGTCATTGTTTATTTTAATGTAGTACTGACAGTTTCCACAAGGTGGAGACATTGAAGTACTCTAAACTGAACCTCAGTGATGTCACAGTGAGAAATCCTAGTTTCTTTAGCTACTCAAACCAGACCCTTTTTTTTTTTTTTTTTACCCCTGCTAAGAAGCCCAAATGTTTACATTTCAGTTCCTGCTTTGGGGAGGTTACATTTTTAGCAAGTGAGATAATGCTCAGAGCAAGTGTAGATAAAAGTGCGGGCATGTAAGCAAACCACCCAGTTCCTAAAACTGAAGAACTCTGGGCTGGCTTTTCTTCTCCCATCCCTTTGAGTGTAGAAATTTACCTCCAAAATGAGGAGAGGTAGCCCAGATGGCATTGAATGCTCCTTCTAGTTGTAATATTCTAGAATGCTGGTTTAAAAGCATGACTTCATGCGACAGAAATGCATGTGAGTTCTTGCGTTGAGGCCCACTTTGGTTTTACATGCTGAGTCCAGGGCATGTCATTGAGTGTCCTTTGTACTTATTTCTTTTTTTTTTTCTTATAAACATGACAAGGTTGTAGATATTGAAGGACTGGTCATTAGTCTGTGCTTCAGAATCGGCTAAATAAATATATTGCTGAGGCAATTGGTGTAGTAGAAAGAAAACAGACTGAGATATCTGACAGATGGAGCTTAAACCCTGCTCTGCCACTTGCGAGCTCTGTGACATGAGGCATGTCATTTAACTCCCCTAAGCCTTGAAGCATTAGAAATAATATGGTTCTTAACCTTCCACAATTAGATTTCTCTTTGAGGTTGTATCTGATTAACGGCAAATATCTGATAAAGACACAAAGTCTCAGACAGGGTCCATATATCTTATCAACCTCAAACATCCAGGCACTTGGAAACAATGAAACGATTAAAGTTTTCATCCAGATGTTTGTTTGGCTTAGTGGGAACAGCCTTGATGTTTGAGTAATATAGAAATCCATAAGGAGGCTCTTTAATGAAAGTTCTTGTAAAAGTTTACAGCAAGTTTATTTTAAAAGCCTGATATGGAAGTAAATTCTAGTTTCTGAAATCCTGTGACCTTTCTTTTTTTTTTTTTAAATGACACTGTACCTCTGCTTGGTATAACAGCTATTTTTTGATGTCTCTAGCTCATTGTCTCTACTGGCTAGTATGCACATGCATCTGTGTGTATCATTCAGTTTGCCTGAAGATGGGGCTGAAATTTGTGTCGAGTTGAAGAACCTAACGGTGAATGCCTTTTGTCTTAGTGCGTGCTTGCATGCGTGAGAGGCTGAACGCGCACGCGAGTGAGCGATACTCTCCTGTTGCACTTAGTATGTGCTGGGCGTGTCTGAGTACTTTACAAGTTGTCACCTGACCTCACCACTTCCTTTTATTAAATTGGTAAATTGGGCTTTGGCTTTAGTTAGTGGAAAAGAATTTAAAATAACAGATGAAGATGCCTCTTACTAAGTTTTGATCTGTGAAGTCAATCCATCTACTCATCTTCTAAAAATTTAAGAGTGCCATATGGTACAGAATAAAATTAAGGGGACAGACTTAGCATCCATATGTTTGGAAAGATGATTCTTTTTTCTTTTCAAAGGAGCCTGCATAATCTTCCAAAGTATGAATATACATTCCTTCCTGGAAAAATATGACCATTTAAATTTAACATCAGAAATGTTTCCAAGTACCTTTGCTGGCTTCCCATTGCTGTGAGAACAGATCTCAATTCTTAACTGAAGTTGGGAGGCTCTTGATGATGTTTCCCTCAGCGGCCCTCTCTGCTTTAGTCCTGGCCACATCCCTTCCCACGCAGCCCACACACCCCACTGCTCTAGGATCCCTGCCATTCATTACCGGAGGTGGTAGGCCTACCGTCAGGATGGCCGAGCAGTCTAAGGTGCTGCATTCAGAGGTGGTTTCCTGCATTTGCAAAGCACTGCATCTCAGGACATGCCACTTTCTTCCTGAATTTCCTTTCCCATCAAGCCCCATGGGACTGACCCTAAAATAAACACCTCCTCTGTGATGCCTTCCTGGACTTCCCCAGAGTTAGCTCTGTCTCCTGTGTTTCGGGTAGCTTTGCTTTACACCCAACCTTGTGGGTGAACCCCTCACTTTGCATGGGAAGTGTTTGAGAGGGGCTGGATAGTACTGAGGAAAGAGTAAGGTCTTAAGAGGTAAACAGATTTGAGATTGAGTCCTGGCTCTGCCAAATGAACTGGAAAAAGTTCTGAACCTTTGGGAATTAGAGATAGAGCTTGAAAAACACCTGGCAGAATCTGGGATGCTCAAGAAATGTGTGTGTGTGTGTGTGTGTGTGTGTGTGTGTGTGTGTTGTGTGTGTGTTTATTCATTCCTCCTCCACACTTGGGGCTCCTTGAAGGCAAACAGTACCTGTTATTTCTCTAAACTCAGAGACTAGCACAAGTAGGTATTTAATAAATATTTTGTGAACGGTTTATTCTGCAGACCTACCCTTACAAGACCTTGGGCTTATATAACTTTCTACCACCAGCTGTGAAACTCAGTCATTCTATTTACAAAACACTTGGGGAAAATTAACTTCCCCTCTGGTGTCTTTTTGGTGCAATGCATAGCTCCATCTAGTGGCCAAAATAGGACGTGACGCAGACATTATGTTGGTTAAGACGAAGGGCCAAGGAAGTGAACATTGATGGAGTTGGCTTGCCTGATCATGAGTCTAGTGTGGGAGAGAGAGCGGGGCTGTGAACAAAATGGTCTTCAGTGTTGACTTGCTAATGGCTGAAGTCTTCCCTCTTAGGTGGCAGGGATTCCTCCATCAACAGGTACGATACGTGCACCGGTACCTGCTCAGAGCCTCAGAAGCTGAGGAACCCATCCTTGCTGAATTATTTGCAGCTCTATAAACGTATCCCAGTGTGTCTGCTTGGGCTGCTATAGCGAAACGCCATAGACTGAGGACTTAAACAACACATTTATTTCTCAGTTCTGGAGGCTGGAATTCCAAGATCATAGTGCCAGCATGGTCAAGTTCTGCTGCTAGCCCCCTTCCTGGCTTGCTATAG